CGGTATGTTTCACATGGATCATTTCCACTGCTGGTTTAAAGCTGATGTAGCTATCCACGTCAACTAAATTCCTCGTCCCTTCTGCAGTTGAGTGAAGGAGTCCAACCGCCATCAGTACAAATGTGTGGCAAGGTTACATACGATTCAAATGTTCCAAATGAGTCCTTATGAAAGGATGCACCTGGAATAATATTTTAGCAAATTGTTCAGATTCATTTGCCACGGTGGTAGTGGCTGGCATCACCGTCGCGAGATCTGGGTTCAAATCTCTGTGTGAAGTGTGCATTAAACATGCTTCACTTACACTATAAACTGTCCACAGTGAGTGTGAATGGGGGTTTGTTTGTCTCTAAGTCACTGATGGTGTAGTGGTACACTCGCCTGACTTGTGTGCGGGCGGCGTGCGCTCGGTTCCCACTCAGTGACGGTGTGAATGTGGGTCTGAATGGTTGTTTGTCTCTATATGTGCCCTGCGACTGACTGGCGACCAGTTCAGGGTATAGTCTGCCTTCCGCCCGAAGTCAGCTGGGATAGGCTTCAGCAACCCCCCCCCCACACCCCCCCACGACCCTGTTCAGGATAAACTCTGTTCAAAATGGATGCTTGGATGGGATGTTTGTCTATTTGTGCCCGGAGATTGGATAGCGACCAGTCCAGGGTGTACCATGCCTCTCTCAAAGTCAGCTGGGATAGGTTACAACACATCCATGTCTGGAGTTGAGGACAAGCGGTAGAAATTGATTGACACTACAGCCACTTGCTGGGAGCCGAAACGCAAAAACTTTTTTTTTTTAATGATTTTTTTTCTGGCCGTTGAATCTCTGCTTTGCATTCATTATAAAACGTGTCGTAGGATGAAAGGCTAACAGTACACTGAATGCCGAGTTGCAGCGCCCCAAGAAAGCGCCTCATCGTGTGGCTGCTTTTGTTCTTCTGTGATCGTGACGTGTGTGTGCACGCGTGTATTACAGACGGGAATTCGCGCTGCCAGACCCCGACCAAGCTGCGTCCGGTCGACGACGAAGCGGAGCAGCCGGCGAGCTGCGCGGCGGAGTGGAGCGGCGCGGAAGAGTCGCTCTTCCGGGTGCTGCACGGCACCTACTTCAACAACTTCTGCTCCATCGCACGCCTCATCGGCACCAAAAACTGCAAGGAGGTGAAACGCTGGGCACTAAGCTGTGTTAACTGTAACTTAAGTCACTGGACAGTTTGTTACCGTCTGGAAGACAATGCCGGGGGTCCTCTGTTGATGATGGTCCCGACATACGACATTTTACGACTTTGTGCGGAGGCGTATGAATATCCTGGTCAAGCGAAGCGATTTTGATATTAATATTTGCGCAATTACTTAGCATTCAGATTGAGTGCAAATTCAGGTTCAGGGCAGAGTCCCTGTTGGTTTTAAATCACGTATTTGTCATGTTACGAAAACATGCGTTTGTGTTCCCATCGGGGTTATAATTTTTCGATCGTTTTTATTTCATTTTGAATTTTGTTTCTGAAGGTCATGTATTTCGAATCCATTTTTCAAACTTTTTTTTTTACTTTGTCTTTTTTTTTTAATATGGAGTTCAAGATAAAAAATTAAAAGGTCACAATAACTAAGTGACATTACTATTAACTTCTTCCGCACAGCTGTACATACAAAATAAATACGTTTAAACTCAACGCTACAAGTTCCCGTATGAAATTAATTGACAAAAGACGAAAACTGAGGATATTTTCTCTGTGATCGCAGTTTTGTTTTCCAGACGTAAACTCTAGTGTCAATTATCATTTTGTTCACAAACACATTTCAGTTTTTGGTTTTTTTTTTTCGTTTACGGGAATGTTGTTTGTTATTTCATCGGTTCTCATGAACTTCCATCACATATACATCGTGCTCAAAACGTGTGTTTTGAGAAGCTGAAGTGCTTTTATGACTTCAAATGTCTTCAAAGCGCGTGGGTGGGAAATAAAAAAATCCTCGGATTCATAAAGACCAGAGGATCGTATTGCACACCTTGTTGAGGTTTCAAAGTTAAGTGTGGAGAGGGCTCAGGGGACTCTTGCAGTGCAGGCTTTGACAGTATGGCTCCGCTAGTTGTTGCCAAGGCAATGAGCGAGCACTTAGTCAGCGACCGAAGTGGAGACGTGACTTAGTCGTGATTACATGACGGAAAGGTCGCAAACGGCGGCGGAGAACATTCTTCCTGTTACTCGGTAACAACCAAGCGCGTGTCCGCAAGCCGAGGCCAAATGTGGGCCGAAAAGCCAGTCGGCAGCGGACTTCCCGGATTGTTGCATAACGGCTGCGACTGCGCTGATTGAACAATATAATCTCGCGCTTGGATGCCAGCGTTTGCACATTTTGTGTCGGTTTTGATGTTTCCCAGGTGTACACGTTTGCAGTGAAGGAGGCGCTCATCCACCGCGTCCCTCTGGAGGACGGAGGCATCTTGCCACAGAAGAAAAAAAGGAAGCACAGGCAAGCTGCCGCTCTCATTTGTGATTCATCACTGACGGGATCGATTATCTCTGAATAACGCACTGAATTATGCAAGTCAAACTTTACGGGGGAGGGGATTTTTGCACTGACTGGTGACATCATTCCGTCTGGCTTTTCGTGCGCCACTGCAACATTTAGCCAAACGGCGACGAATCAAGGTGGAGTTGCACCTAGTTGATAAGGTCAAGGTGACCCTTCCAGCTGAATTTCGCTGCAGTGCAAGAACTCATCTGGTGCCCCCCCCCCCCCAACAAAAATCAACACAGTTATAATATATCCATCCATCCATTTTTGGATCCATTTTTGCTCACAACGGTCGCGGGGCATGCTTGAGCCTATCCCAGCTGTCTTCGGGCAGTAGGTGAGGGACACCCTGACCCGGTTGCCAGCCAATCGCAGGACACACAGTACACGAACAACCATCCGCGCTCACGCTCACACCTCGGGACAATTTAGAGTGTTTAATCAGCCTGCCATGCATGTTTTTGGAATGTGGGAGGAAACCGGAGTACCCACAGATAACCCGCGCTAACCACTGGACCACTGCGCCGCTCATTTATAATATAATATACTCTTAATATATTATACTATAGTATCTCATTGATGTGCTATGTTTGTTCTGCACATCATTCCAAATCCGCAAGAAATGATTGTGCCTACTCATGTCAATTATGATTAGAATCCTCCAAATATAGCTGGCAAAACAATGACAGTGAGCTAAAAATAAGTCTCAATCGAATATTAAGTTTGGTTTTGTTCACTTCCCAACACTCTTAATGCTTAAAAGTACCTTCATCTTGTGTATTTTTTTTTTTTATGAGGCAGGTTATGGGCAAAGATTCAGCTCAAGAAAGGTAGGTTTGACACGTGACGGCATGGCTATTTTTATTCACTTCTTTTCCGAAGGCTCTTCTGACGGCATCTGCGCTTTCAATTCCAGATAACTCATCCAATCAGGTGTACAACTACCAGCCATGTGACCACCCAGATCACCCCTGCGACAGCACTTGCCCGTGTGTCATCACACAGAATTTCTGCGAGAAGTTTTGCCAGTGTGAGGACGAGTGTGAGTTCTTTATGTTACCGCTTTTACTTTTTTGGGGGGGGCTTCTTTTTTTTTTTTTTTTTTTGGTTCCCATGCACACAATACAAGATTCATGCTTTGGAAGAGTTTAGTGTGAGAATGAGCAGGTGGTATTGACAGGCGCACACCAATAACGGAATGTTGACGTTCTCTTGTTGAAAATCTCTTCCGTTTTCTCATAATTTGTTTTGACATTAATTGTCTAAATTCAATTTTAACAAAGAGAACACTCAAACAAATCCCATACAAAGAAATTCACACGTTTAGACTATTTTTAAAATATTTTTGTCAATCATTTTTCTCACTTTTTTTACTTCATATAATTCTACTTGTCTTTTTTTCCTTTTCAGTGGGGCCCAAAGTTCAAGTCATAATGGCTTCCAAAAACCTGTTGAAGGTCTTCCCAAATAATTTCACTGCGAGAATAAACCCAAAATTTTTAGACCATAAAAATACAGAAACTAGAAAGTCAAGGGCTGATGATTAAAACTGTTGCATTTTTTTCAAAGGATTTTTTTTCATTGACTTGTGATGTTACAACTTTTTTTTTCCTCAGATTTTTCTTAAACATGATCTCATATTTGCATGCCTTTTGATTTCACAATTGTAAAGCTGCATTCAGAGAAGAGAGTGCCCTCCGGCTCACACACAGCTGCATTCAGAAGAAGAAATTAGCTTCTTCTGCAGCACAAAAAAAAAAAAAAGCCACATTGCACTGCCGCCCGCATTCCTCCCTATTCCACATTAAAGCGACAGCAGAGCAACAAGATGGTGAGTGTGGACAAACAGTGCAGAAGAGCTGATTTTGCGTGCATGTGTTGTGATTCAGTCAGTCTACCGCACTCCTTCCCTCCTCTCCGGACCATCACGCCGCCTTTTTCCCGTAGCAGACGGGTACTCGGGCCAAACAGGAAGTTGCAAATGTGTGTGCTCGAAAGGGCCTGGACGGGAATCAAAGAGACGTGACGGGCGCCGTGCCTGATTTACAACATCAGCTCCAACGTCAGCACGATTCTGACAGCTAAGGCTAAACAATGTCGCAGATGGAACATTTAAATCCAGCTCCGAATGGTGAAACAGCAGACGTTTTTCTTTTCCCCGCAGGCTGATACTGGCGGGCAGACATTTTCGGTCATTCCCACCCACAGGCTGTTGTAACGTTACGCTTCTGCCAACTTGTCATTGGGCATATCTGCCACTAGAGGGCCTCCTCACTCACTCTAAAGTTCTGCACTGCAGGCCAGAACCGCTTCCCGGGCTGCAGGTGTAAGACCCAGTGCAACACTAAGCAGTGTCCCTGCTACTTGGCCGTGAGGGAGTGCGACCCGGACCTGTGCATGACTTGTGGCGCCGCCGAGCATTGGGACAGCAAAGTGGTGTCGTGTAAGAACTGCAGCATCCAGAGGGGCCTCAAAAAGGTACGGACGGCACGAAGGACGGTTTTGCTCACTGGATTTTAACTATACTGGACAAAATTATGAACAAAAATTTTCTATGATTTTTGGGCCCAAACGTACGCCTTTGACATAAATTATCGTCAACTAAGTTTTTTTTTTCTTCAAAGTCTGCTTTGATCCAGAAAAAGTTATACAACAAAAAGAAAAACAAATGAAACTATACTAACTATGGCCAGCAGAGGGCAGCCTTGAATCTCTTGGATTACATCATATATCAAAACAATGCTTGATTGCTTGTGGATAGGTGGAAATTCAACCTTTACAAGCACCTTGTGATTAATCAAAGTATTTGTCATGTTAAATCTACAAAGAATGTGACAAAAGAGAAAAAAAACAACGGAGATTATTTAAATTTAAAAGTAGAGGCGATGATGACACACACACACACACACACACACACACACACACACAAACACATACTACTACTATTATTAAATATCATGCTTTCCTTGTTTCTGCATCTACATGTGATATGGTTTGTTTGTGTTGTTCGGGCAGATGAGTGTTTATACGTTAGCAATCGATTCAGTGACAACAAGGTCACATTGACGGTTTATATCGGCACATTAATGTTGCACATAAAAAAATCCAAATTGTGTCACTTGAACCATGCTGTGTAAAACCAGCCGGATGCAATAAACCCAATGTAAGCTCTCCTCTACACGATCAATAAAAAAACGGATCTTTCGGGGTATATTTGTAATGGCGTTATGCCTGTTTCTGACAGTGTTAATAACTCTTTGACAGCACCTCCTGTTGGCTCCATCGGATGTCGCCGGATGGGGCACCTTCATCAAAGAGCCTGTGCAGAAGAACGAGTTCATCTCAGAGTATTGCGGAGAGGTAATTTGTAAGCTTCCCCGTAAGGCTGCATGGTAGAAAATTGGGAAGTTGGAAGTTTCATGCTGCCTTCTAGAGACATTACTCAAGAAAGTTTGTCAGTTGTTCATTTCTATGTAGTACAGTGTGAAATTGAAAAAATGTGCCACATTGAAAGTTTCAGTCAAAATGACACACACAGGTCTTCTGTGTGTTTTTATTTCACATGTGGACGATGGGAAGATTTTGTTCGAATTAGTAGAATGTTTGTTTTACCCGGTTAAATGTCAGTATTTTCAATGAAATAATACACTTAGACCATAAATAAAGCCCCCCCCACAGATTAATGACTTTGTGGGGCTTAGCTTGAGGCGATAAAAAAAAAGAACAGGTTTTGCATCAGAATTGATAGCACTTAAGGTGGCTTTGTTTTGTTTGTTTGTTTGTCTGGCACTCGCAAGTGTGATATTTCCAACTGGCATTCCAGTCAGGTTTAACAATCGCATGTTTCCATTTTTCAGCTCATCTCACAGGAGGAGGCGGACCGACGCGGCAGAATCTACGACAAATACATGTCCAGCTTCCTTTTCAACCTGAACAATGGCGAGTATTCAGTCGGGCTTTTGCGGCGTCAAGTTGCCCCGTTGACGTCATTCTAACGCCTTCCTCTCTGCAGACTTTGTCGTTGATGCCACAAGGAAAGGGAACAAAATCCGCTTTGCCAATCACTCGGTCAATCCAAACTGCTACGCCAAAGGTAATACTCTCGCTTATTATTACATGAATCTTACGCGTGAACGGGGTGTGTAGACTTTTTAGATCCATTTTCGAAAGATAAGACGTCAAAAGCAGATTAAAGTACAGTAGTGTTATAAGGTCTGACGTGGCGTTTACAGTGGTGATGGTGAACGGAGACCACCGCATCGGGATCTTCGCCAAGCGGTCCATCATGCAAGGGGAAGAGCTTTTCTTCGACTACAGGTGAGGCCACTTGCCTTTTGATGGCTTCTCATGCGGAGAGGTGGCTTTGAGTGAGTGAGAGGTCTTCAATTGGGTCCAAATGGAATTAAGAAGGTGTCCAAAAGCATTGAATTTGTTGTAAACCGACAGTTTGTCTCAATTTCTGCATCCTAACTGCCGCTTTTCGCTTCCTCCCGCAGATACAGCCAAGCGGACGCCCTCAAATATGTCGGCATCGAAAGGGAGGTGGATATGTCTTAGCCGACCAGCACCATACATAAATACTGGATATCCTGTCCTTAACTTCTGCAGCCCTCCACTAGCGCCTCCGTCCCGTTTGGGGTCTTTCTGCAGCATCGCACGTTGGCTCCGTCCTTTGAAAATAGCGCCTCAAAAAAAAAAAAAAAAAAGAGGAAAAAAAGCAGCCCCTCCCTTCCTCGATGTTTGCAGATGCACTAGTCCCCCTCCCTTCCTTTCATCCACCCAAATGCACGAGTGTACACACCACGCTTGTCAACTTTATACGATTACAGTAGTCCGTGTTGCTAAGGGGTTTTTCCTTTGTGCTCGACTCAGGCAGCACTCGTAGTTAGCTTACAGGATGTCCGTTTAGTTACAGCGAGCAGCGACCTGCATGTGCTGTCTCTCGGGTAAATAAAATTCAGTAAACGAGTTTAGTTGGCAGTATTTCGCGTCACGGTGTTGTCACATGATGAGGCTAAAAGTTGTGCATTTATGTCAAAAATATAATAATAGGCAAGGAACCGACTGATTGAATGTAACCCATAGATGGCATTCGTTTTCATTTTCATTTAAAGGGGACATATTATGAAGAATTTACTTTGTCATTGCTTGTAAACAAATAGTTGGCCTTCTGGAAAGTAAATCTTTTTTCCTGCGTATTTATGAAAATGTGTCCTGGGGTGTGCCATTCACCAACTTTCTCTACTCATGACTTAGTCACCGGGTTGATGAAAGATTGCTCGTTTTCAAGCAACAGCCGTACTGCAATGTCAAAAGATAAGCCGAGATGCAGTGTTAGCTCAGATTAGAACCGCCCTCCGACAACCAAGTGATTTCAACCAGAGTGTGACAAGTTGATGTTAAGTGTGCTGTAATTCTTTATCCTTTGTGTATTTTGACTGAAGAATGTCAGAGATGTTTTAAAGACACCCGAGAGCTTCTTTAAATTGTGAAATAAAAATGAATAATATGTCTCCTTTAACGCAGTTAACCTGTTGATTGGTCCTTGAAGCAGTTGTTGTATTTAGCTGAAAGGCAAATAATTAATAGACAAATGCAGCTAATGTCTTCCTGGTTCCGCACTAGAGTTTAAATGAGTATTAGGCCCATACTGAAATTTAAATAGTTAAATTTAATAATAAAAATGTGACTGAGAATAAATTTGCATTAGCCTTTTTAGAGCGTCATTTTATGAAAAAAAGGTCAAAGGAAAAGTCAGAAGCTGAAAGTTGCAGTGTTTGTGTGGGAACTTCTGATTGAAACTACAACAATAAGAGTTCTGGCACTTTGTTTTTTAAAAGTGACTTCATCACAATTGTTTTTTCTTTTTTTTACAAAAAGGGTACATGTATAGAAAGAAAAATAAACGTAACGTAAATGTACAAAGTCGTATTAGGACTACACTCAAAAGAAAAAGAAATGACTAAATATAAAATTGTAGTTGCACTTTCTGAATAAGTTTGCTCTATTGATGACTTTTTGCGGTCAATGGTGTTGAAACAGCGCCCTCTGGTTTGAGATAAGAATAAAAGACAAACAGCTTTCAGCACCTGGTGGGAATACCCGGTGCTGTAAGCCCTTTACGGGTTTTAATGTTAAATAACAACAAATTTTTAAAAAAGTCTGTGTTTTCTTTTGTTTGTTTTGTTTCAAATAAAAGATGAAAACACAAATGGAGACGGCTCATATTTTGTGTTGACGTTTCCACCTGTGACCACTAGAGGGGAACAATGGCAATGATTCCAAAGGCCCATGGCCATCAGACATGCTACATTGAAAAAGTATGTAACATGAACTATTGCAAGGTCAAGGGGAGTTTAAAACACATCGCAATTATATACTTTATAACTTGTATTAACATTAAAAAACACTGAATGGGACAAAGTCAAATGCCGTGCAAAAAAAAGCCTTTTTGGGAGTGATTCTTTGTGAACGGTGAGAAGGGGGGGTCGAATGTTCTGGGGGGGGCGGGGGGTTTCGAATGTTCTGTACTGACTGAGCTAAAGATCATAATGAAAGGTTATGGGACAAAAGTGGGTAAAATGAATACAATTGTGACAGAATATCAAGTTCCAGTGTGAGAACCAACGGGTGGGTCTCGTCGATATTGTGAATATACACAAAAGAAGGTATCACTGTGAACAATGCAGACAAAAGCGCTTGTCCTCCACACAGTCATTACGCGGGTCATACTTGACACGCCATTGTTGGCCACAAACTGATCATTTGGGATAAGATGTCTTTCTGGCACCTGCAAACTGAGTCAATTAGTTGTATGACTTTTTGAATACACGGGGTGTCCCAAAAGTCCCAAAAGGCACGACAGTTCTTGGACTATTTTATTTCAGGAATGCATTGGACAGAAGTGAGGCCATCAAGATTTTACGACAGGCTTTGCGGTCTGTAAGCATAGCTTTCTCTTGCACTGCGTGGCTAGCCAATTGTCATCGGAGCAGTGTTGCAAAATGACACCCGGGCAAAGAGGTTTTTTCTGTCCCTGACTGCAGTTCAGCACCAGTTTGAGAAGCTTTAAGGCAGTCATAATGTTTCAACGCAAAGTGCAATTTATGCTGTCCATTGTTATTTTATTTTTATTTTTTTGTAATCATAACTAACACAATTTTTCTGACATTGGCTTAATATTCAGTCATGTCTAGTCTTGCCATGCTTTGTGTGATCTTACCTTGCGTGTCCCGTCCATTCTAGTTTTATCTTATCACAATCTAATCTTGTCATGTCATCCTGACTTTCTAATCTTTTGTTACCTTGTCTTATCTCACCCGATGCTGTTTTACGTTACCTAATCTTCACTCTTAATCTCAATCACTAATCTTAATCTCAAGAATAATAAAGCATACCCGCAACTGAAACAATTACTGAGAACGTATACGGTACTACTCTAACCCGAATAATTCCAAGTGAAAGCCAGTGCGCCTATATTACAAACAAAAATGTTGATATACTGTATGTTGTGCCTAACACGTTACCGCGTAACCAGTTAAGCGGCGCGCGAGTAATCACACTACAAAAGACGACAATTAATAGAATGGCGTCCAAGTACAATAGATGTCAATGAAGCTGGGCAGTGTGTTGCATTTAAGCAGGTGTCACGTGTGTTGTGTCCAGTATGCAGTGTGTGTTGCTTTTTTTTTCCCTTCTTGTATTGTCAGGATTTTCAGGGTGTGGCCACTTTTCCTTTTATAACTCGTCTTGGATTGTTGCTTTGCGCCACTGCACCAAACAATCTTCCACCATGTAAGTATTCAACGCATTCTTCTTGTCGTGGGCGAACTGCACGTCATGTAGCATGAGTAAGCACGTCTGTATTTTACTGGAGGAACAGAAAATTTAGTTATAACTAAGTTAAATACTTTTTGGTTTATTTGTTTGTTTTATCGTTTTATTCCAGGTTTCTGCTTGCAGCACTTGTTGGCTGCCTGCTCGCCCTCACAGCTGAGGCCAGAATCGGGTAAGAACATTTTCAAGACATTTTGTCATTGTGTCGATAAACAAGACGATACTGACAAAAATTGGGCCATATCCGCAAAGGGAGCAACAATACTACAATCGTGCCTTGAGATATGAGTTTAACTCATTCAGTGAACACGCTCGTAACTCAAAACAATTGCATGTCAAATCATCTTTCTCCATTGAAAATACTGGAAATGCCATGAATCTGTTCCAGCTTCCTCCAAATGCTAACAAAAATGTATGCACGGTATGTAAGTACTTTGTAATGAGCAAAATATCCCTCTAAAATATGGTAATTTATAAAACCACACCGGAATGATATACAGTAAATAATGACAACTTGAAGCTATTGCTATGCTATTTGTTAGCCCATCTATGGTTTTTCCAATTAGAAGTTTGCATTAAATATCAGTAAATAATTAAGTTCACTGCTACCATTCAGTGCTTGCATCGCAATTTCTTTGCGGTCAAGTCAGTCCAAAAAAATCATGCAAATGACGGCTTGTAGCTTGAAAAACTCAGCTCATCTCTCTCTCTCAAGGCGCCACTGCATCAAAATCAATCGCAAACCAAAACCTTAGCAGATTATACATGTTCATCGAGTTTGAAGGCGATCAGAAATATGACACAAAATTTTACATTTGGGGGCTTCGGTGTGTTTCCTTTTCGTGACAATAATCTCAGGCCCTCAAGTTTCGTCTTTAATGCGCGAAAAGCTCTCAAAACCAAAGACAGTAACACAAAACCCTGGTGCATTGTTGCCACAGGAACTGCTCTGAGCTCTCATTCTACACCGAGACAAGTCAATGTCTGCTGTTTAAGGTCATCTGCGAGACTAACAAGTATGAGGTGAGTGAATAAAATGTTAACAGATAAAAAACAAGGCGGCGCGATGACACAGTTGTGGGATGACAACCGTGTCTCTCAATCTCTCTCTCTCTCTCTCTCTAGGTGCGCCGCTATGAAGCTGCCAAGTGGGTGACAACAACAGAGTGGTCATGGTCCATGGACATTGCCTGTATGAACGCATTTATGCGGCTGTTTGACTACATCAGTGGGGAAAATGAGAATGGTGCGTGCGTGTTGAAACCATATGACCCGTTTATTCTTACTTGCCCTATCAAAAAAGTACTATTTTTGAATTTGTACAGGTTATATAGGTAATTCTAATGGTGGGAAAGGATTTGAAATGATTGATCTTAATCTCACTCTTGACTATGTAACAGAACCTGGTATATGAACAGGGGTGTGTACACTTTTTCTATCCACTGAAATACCTAACGTTGTGCGGGTGCTTTCAATGCTCTTTTGTGTGCTCAATGCTCCAGGGCAAAAGATTGAAATGACCGCTCCTGTTGTGATAAAGATAGACGAAGAAAAGAAGTGGTTTTGGGAAGCTAAACAATACACAATGAGCTTCTTGTTGCCCAAGGAGCACCAGGCCAATCCTCCAACGCCTAAGGACAATCAGGTAACATGTCGCTATCGGATGAAATCAAGCACTGCCCATTTTTAGACATTAGAGAGCCCATTTAAAAAAAGAAAATCTCTGCATGTGCTCACTACTCTTAATATTTGTGGCGACGAACGCAGCACATCACACCTGAAACCATATCTGGTGTAATACCAAGACTGACCTGACTCTAGGCAGAATGGTGCCAAAGCGAATCCAGGCTGCTTGAAAATACAAAGAGGAAAACAGGAGCAGGAAGAGTCGTGGTAACAGAAGAAAGAGAAGAAGCGAAGCTAACTGCTAGCCTATATTTTAACTAAATATCGGGTGTATACTCGCCGAAAATATCGAACGGGTACGACATTTGCAATTATTGGCCCTGAATGTTTCCCCGAGCAGATTAGAGATGAAAATTTAGTCTTAACAAACCCCACACCATAGGAAAATCACTCAGGATCATTTTTCAGAAACATCCGATAAATGGGCTGATTGGGTTTTGCTGATTATTTTGGGTGGGTCCCACACCCAATACCACAGGATAATCACCCAAAGGTAAGATGTTAGACATCTGATAATCAGGCCTTTGCTGCCTTTGAATAAATATCTCTTAAGTAACCCTACACCACAGGATAATAATTCATGATAATCATTTAGAGAAATCTAAAAATCGGGCTTTAGTTTAAGTTCAAGTTTAGACTTGATCGCAAGGGAGGAAAAATGATGGCCATCGTCTGATTGTCGATACATACCCTGCTTAACTGACACTGGCCTGCAGGTCTTCATAAGTGATACGCCAGCCTTAAATGTGTACGTGCGGAGCTATGGCGGGTGGATGACCTCGTGGACTGACTGTCATCACAAAGAAGCCCTGATGTATGACCTGATGAAGGATGGCGCTAGCTTCAAAGGCAACTGCCATTTTGGCGTTGGATATAACAGGTAATTTTCCTCAATTGAGGTCGATACATATTTAAATGTATATTGCAGATTCTGAAAGTATACTCCCTTGAGTGGTATGCAAAATAATCACTGATTAAATACCATTCAGTTGTGTTTCTTTTTCACAATTGTTTATACTTCTTCGGAATAAAACCTGTGTCTATACTTTTGATGAACGCGTGTGTGTGTGTGTGTGTGTGTGTGTGTGTGTGTGTGTGTGTGTGTGTGTGTGTGTGTGTGTGTGTGCTGCAGCCCCATGACACTGTGGTGGAATAGGCACAATGAGGTGTGGGTGATCGCTGAGGGTAACCCAGTGTGTTCGAGCAGTGAGGAAATGGACTGAGGCTTTGTCATCATCCATCGCATGTTGTCGCTTAAGACACCCAGCAGCATATATGAGTGATTGGGTCTGTATTTGAAAGTATGAAAAAAAAAAAATCAATAAATGTCATATTATATCAATAAAGCTACTCATTTGAAGTTGATTCTCATCATTGTGAAATGTCCACCAAATCTAATGAGATTGGCTAATTAAGAAAAGTAATGCTCGTTTCCACTAACATTGTTTATAATTGTTTTATTATTGTAAAGTAGAGCGGTGTAGATAAAAATGTGTACGTGACTAGCGATTGATAAATACAAAATTATAATTGTAAAATATGAATTTTTATTATTATGTTGTTGTTGTTTATTTGGGGGGAAATTACCATTAATATTAATATGCAGTATAAGATATTAGCCATCCATTATCCGCTTTATCCTCACGAGGGTCGTATTAACTAAACAAAATGTTTATTTGTGGTAGTAGTTTCCTGCCATGCAGATTTTTACTGTTTTGCAATGAGACATATTAAAATAAAATAAATACCGGTGAATAAAGACAGAATTCAAGAAGATATTTTTAGAGGAGCCTTTACTAATTGGTACTGCACAGGTGTACTTATTAAAAGTGTCTGTTGTGTTTTTAGCCACCAGATGTCGCTAGAACATCACCTCTGAACCAGTGTTTGATTCATGAAAATCGGGCTTTTGCTGAATGTGATCGAGAGGGGTGTCCTCTTTTTTCAGTGCATATATTTACGTACAATTAGACCCTTTTTATACTCTGTGTGTAACAATGCTACGTGTGGTGTATCTAATTCAAGCTTAGCTTAACAAATATTACTCAAGGCTCCCATTAAAGCTCCCATTAAATATAACATATGATGCAAAATACCATTGTTAGCAGAGTTACGATTTTCAACCATTTAAACAATGGATATTTGAACAAAACCTGTAGACAGATAATATAAAAATACTCACAGGCATGTATTCGTTATCCTCTATGAAAAATGAGTAATATTCCAGAAACTTACAGGGTAGTCGCAGAATTTAAATCTATTTTATGTACCGGTAATCTCATAGCATCTATTCTGGTGGCAAGGCGTGCGTAATATATGGAGGAGCACACTGAACTGTATAGTTGCGTTAAATCATGACAATCTATTATTTTATTATGGTATGGTATTTTATAAAGTCTAATATTATAAAGTGATTTTTTTTTTTAAGGACGGATTACAGGCATTTCTGTTCATTTTAATAGGGGAAGATTTTCATATCATTTCCATCAAAGAGATCTTGGCTGTAGGTGGTGTTTTGTAACACACTTCCTTGGTGACTCTATAAACAATACACAATACAAAGGAACAAAATGAAGATATGAAATCTATGAATGGCCACAATTCGCAGCGGTGCAATATTGAGTGTTATCTTATCAGGCCTCCAGCTCAAGAAGGATGGCTCATTGACTACAGTAACATTCCAGCAGGTGGCTATGTGACTGACTCTCTAGCGGACGTAGGTTAGGAGTGCCAGTCAGGAGAGTTTTTTTTTTTTTTTTTTTTTTTTTTTACGACTCACGATCAAAGTCCGCATGTGGTCTTCAACGATTGTCAGTGCACCGGGAGCGCTCGGGGCTGCATGGCGGCCTTCCTGCTATGTGTGTCCGCTCTCCTTGTACCTGAGACTATGAAGACATGACCTGACCGTGGACCTGTTGCACCTGTAGACAGTATGGACCTTCCTGATCAATTCCAAGAGCAGCAACAACAGCAGGCCTCTGGAACCCGAACGGACAACTACCATGAGGACATCTTCACTTCAGAAGGAGCATCAACATGTGAGTAGAAGGTGGGAACGCAGCAGGGAACATTTCATTGGGCACGCCAGCCCAATCCCCCAGTGTGTGTGTGGGTGTGTGTGTGTGTGTGTGTGTGTGTGTGTGTGTGTGTGTGTGTGTGTGTGTGTGTGTGTGTGTGTGTGTGTGTGAAAGCAGCTTTTCATGCAGTCTTACATCGCTGCAAAACAAAAACTATTAGTTGATCAGAATATAATTGTCATTAATGGAGCACCTTCCATTGTGCCTGATAAAAGGACCGACAGGCGTAACAGTGCCAAAATGGTTCCACTCATTACCCCAGAGTCCCGATGTGAATTATGCAAGTATTGTATCTGTTGATGACGCATATCAAACTGAATGGTGACACTTGGTAGTATTTTATATTGGGGGGGGGACTATTCTCTTTACGGCAGAGCAATAAAGGCAGATGAATGGTGAATGACTACAGTACGCCACTGTCTTGAAGTTGAATTTAAATTGCTATTATTGTCACTTACATTTTGGGACGCAGCGGTACATTTGACATTACACTAAATTGTGTTACCAATGCTATAATAGCCATTCGCATTTGTGATTCTCCAAAGTGGAAGGTTTCATTGATAGCACACTGAATCAAGCAATTAAAACCATATTCCTTTACAGTGGTGCCTTGAGATACAAATTGACCTGACTTACCAGTTTTTCAAGATACGAGCCTTCAATCCGACAATTATCCGCTTTGACCTTCGGGTGCAAACTTGAGATATGATCACTGTCTAGTGGCAGGTGACTCACATAATGGCCAATGTGAATATGCAAATTCATGAATACCAAACAATGCTTAGCAGGGGTTCACGGTAAATACTATGGGTGACATTTTTGTTTGGTGGTGTGCCGTGAAGTATTTCTACTGTAAAACCTATGCCTTTTCTAATAAAGATTAGGAAATGTAAAAAAAAAAAAAAATTAGAAAGCACGTGTTATCAGTAGCTTGGAACCTCATGAGTTCACAACTTATCTCAGCCTGTGATGTGCAAGCAAATCTTGGCAGCTTTTGCGTGTATCTTTGGACTTAGTTGTGTTTTCACTGTGCTTGCTCAGCTCTGGAGCTACGGGGGGACGCGGACACGAGGCCCAAGTCCGGCGAGGGCTGTCCCGTGTGCGGAGATAAAATATCGGGGTACCACTACGGCCTGCTCACCTGTGAGAGCTGTAAGGTAAAGCGGACGACGGCAACGTGAAGCCAAAAGTCACAAGCCCTGACCTGTGACGTCTTTGCAGGGTTTTTTCAAACGCTCCGTGCAGAACAACAAACACTACACTTGCACAGAGGGACAAAGCTGCCCAATGAACGTCTCCCAGAGGAAGCGCTGCCCGTTCTGTCGCTTTCAGAAGTGTCTGGCGGTGGGGATGAAGAAAGAAGGTACGTCTTGAGTCCCTGCCCTTTGTTCCTGAGCGGCAGCAATTTTGCTCCACTGACACGCATGTTCTCACCGTTGTATCTAAGAGGTCATAAAAAGCAACGCGAGCACTGCTTGTAATGACCCAGTTTACATAAGACGACTTTATAGCGCAGAGATAAACTGTGCTCCAAAAAAAAAGACTTTTTTTTTTAAGCGGAGATGCTCATCTCCGCTGAAAGCACTTTCTGATTTCTAACATCTCACCGATTTTTTAAAATGTGCGAGACCTTACACAATGAGGAAAGAAAAAAAAAAAATCATCAAATAATCCGTACTTTACTTGAGATGACCAACACAACACTCCACACACGTCTTATGCAAGTCATACCCGACACCACATAAAAATTGCTCAGCAGTGGAGGTGTCACAATGAATCCATTATTCAACAACTAATCGATCATCACTTCTCAACAGTAAATATTCTCAGATTTCTATTGTCCTTATTTTATGCCAAAAAAAAAAAAAAAGACTAGTTTAATTTATTACGAAAATTATCATTACTTGCAGGTGTAGTATGACAAAGCCCAAATTGACATGGAATAGAACCTGAAGCAGCCTCAGAATATAAATGTTTGGGTCTAGAATAAAGGCAGATGAATCATGAATTAATATTAGCTACAATTGTCAACATTTGACTTGCAGTCTTATGTTTAATATGACAATTTCACAAAATTCTGTCAAACAGGTGCAATGTAAACAGTCGGTAAATCATAAATCATATTACAACAGTAATGAACAATTCTGTGGCTTTATCACTTCAACTTTTCATGTGTCATGAATCAAGGGCACTTATGTATCTAGGAACTGTATACATACTAATAACTACTAATTCAAATATATGTTGATAAAAAAAGCATACTGACAGATAGAAATGAAGCAGTTATTTGTTTTTCAAATTGCAGCCCCTTCGATTTGAAAATTGCATTTCACCGCACTGCAATGTCGAATTTGATGATTTGTTCAGCGCAACTTTAGAATGTCTTTAAATGTATGCACTTGTGTGTTTTTCATACTCTGTGGAACAGCAGTGAGAGCGAACCGCATGCGAGGCGGCAGGAACAAGTTTGGGCCTTTCTACAGGCAGATGAAAGAACAAAAAGTGCACCCCGAGACCAACGCCGCCCCCTATAGGATCAAAATGGAAACAATGCAAACACTCTGGCCTGCAGCCGCTAACGACTGTTCACTCATGTGTAACCACACGAGTGCTCCCATGTCTCCGGATGCTTTCCATCAGTCGCAAATGTATCCCTCCGGAATGACTCCCTTGCCTTTAGACTGCACTATGAGCGACGATAGGGTAGTCCCTCCTCTGCCTCTTTCCTACGCCGGAACGCATGAACAGACTTTCCCCGGTTACCTCCCGGACGAACTACAAACACCTCTGAACTACAGCCCGGCTCCTTCACACTACTCCATGCACAGGACCCCAAGCAGCACATACATGTTACAAACCCCCTCGACATCTCCGTGCTCAAGCGTCCCGCCCGCCCCGCCGCCACTGCAGCCCCCAGGCATGGTCGGCTCCCTGGCCGCCTGCAGTGCCCACTCCGCCTTTCTTGCTCAGCTTCTGGAAGGGGAGCAGGACGAGAGTCAGCTGTGCGCCAAGGTGGTGGCGAGTCTGCAGAGGGAGCAGGCCAACCGGGGCAAGCACGACTGCCTCAACACGTTCAGTATCATGTGCAAAATGGTGGACCAAACTCTGTTTGGCTTGGTGGAGTGGGCCAGGAACAGTGCGCTCTTCAAGGAGCTCAAGGTGAACAGCCTTACTGATCATAAATGCATCAAGAGAAATAGAACGCTGATGCCAGACAACTATGTTGAACTAAGGGGAGGAGCTTCGTTTAGTTAAGCAAAGCAAAAAAAAAAAAAAAAAAAAAAAAAGTGCTGTGCCTCCATCTTGTGGCATAGGTAGGCAATTACAAACCCTTTGCCTTAGGTATCAATTACTTGCGCAGGGCTTGGTTTCATTCACTGTAGTACTTTTTTTAAATGAATATTTTCATTATTTATGTTTATTGGCTGGGAGAAATGACATCCTACACTGAGGTGTGTGGCACTAATTTTGACGTTTGCTACAAAATACAGCAGTACCTTTGGATAAGAGTAGCCCATCCGTTGAGTTTTTCGTCGTCCATTTTTTTTTGTTTTGTTTTTTTGCTTGTTTGTAACATGTCAGAAAACAGGCCAAAATGTTGATCATTGTTTTTCACATAAAAAGCAGATGATTGCAATTGTTTTTACTGTGCTCCGGGTAACAGGTAGTTGGGAGCCCTGCATTGTGTACTGTATCCAAAACAACCAAATAATTTTGCCTTTAGAATGTCCTTGCTAACACATCGGGAAAACAACATTAATGGGATGACAGATAGCATCAATCGTCATGGTTGATAAGCGTTTAAGCCGGTGGACCCCACAGATATTTATATATATAATTTTTTTGTAGAAGAGCATATCGCGCCAAAAGTACATTATCACCTGAGCGGAAATGTTCGTGAGCTTTTCTATTATAATGAGTTGTGTTTACGCAATAAGAAATGCAAATCTCATCATTATATGGACATTCGCATTTTTTCTACCTCACAGGTGGAGGACCAGATGGTTCTCCTGCAGAGTTGCTGGAGTGAGCTGCTGGTTTTGGACCATCTCTGCAGACAGGTCATCTATGGAAAAGAAGGTTGCATATATCTGGTCATGGGACAGCAGGTAATATGCGCCAACTGCAGTTAAACAACAGGTGACTGTCCCAAATGTAACACATCGAACATTCTCCTCCTCTCCAGATTGAGATGTCAACAATCATCTCTCAGGCAGGACCCACACTCAGCAGTTTGGTCACCAGGACACAGGATTTGGTGTCCAAACTGAAGGCACTCCACTTTGACAGGCACGAGTTTGTCTGTCTCAAATATCTGGTGCTTTTTAACCCCGGTGAGCTTCTTATTTTTTCAGAGAAGAACACAACTACTGAACATGTATCTAAATTCAGAACAATACCACTGGTTAATACATCACAGCATACCACATACAGGTAGATGTCCCCATAGAGGCTAAAGCCAGTATCAGTGCTGACATTAAAATGGTTGCTGACTAAGATTTTTCAGAGCGAACAACTTGAGTCCATTTGTTGTCCACAATCTGGCCTTTGTGTTTCTTTCTGAAAAATATTACCTGGACAAAAGCTATACTTTTTACCGCACTTCCATACACACTCAACCCATACACCCCACAGCCCTCGTTGCATGTTTGCGGTTAAGCATTCTAATCTGGAAAAAAATAAAGCATTCTAATCGAGAAAAATATGTCATTAGAGTAGCCCTTTACATACAGTATAATATTGTAAACGTGAATTCACTCAAACGCCGTTACCTTGCTTCCAAATGTACCGTCAACTATTGCAGCAGCAACGACTTTGAATGTCCAGCTTTAGCAACGCTAGCAAGCTAGCATTAGCACGGTAAACAAATCAATATATGTGATGTTGGTAACATGAGTTACTGTAGCACAACATGTTACGTGGTTTTATGTTTGGCAATGGACAATAAATTAAAAATATGAAGACGTGATACACATACCTGTTGAGCGGAAGTTAATTACTACGCGTACCAGCCCAGTAACGTACTTCCGGCTCCCTTCCCAATAGCGTAAAACTGTGGTGGTGGGGTCGGGGGGGAGGAGTACGAAAGCACTTCCAACTGCAATAAAAGTAAATACTGTATATAATGTGTGGGCTATTTCCGAGTGAATCCAATGTGTGTTTGTCTGGTGTAGATGTAAAGTCTGTGCAGAGTCGACAGCAGGTGGAGCACACGCAGGAAAGGGTGAACCGGGCGCTCATGGAACACACCCAGCGGACTCACCCAGGACACTCAGACAAATTTGGACAGTTGCTGCTGCGGCTGCCCGAAGTACGCAGCATCAGCCTGCAGGTGGAAGAGTATTTGTACCAGCGCCACCTGTTGGGCGATTTGCCCTGTAACTCTCTCCTCACTGAGATGCTGCACACCAAACACAGCTGAGATCAACATTAAGTTTTTAAATCGTGCCAACTTCACATGACGGGCCCCCCACCACCACCACCAACACACACCCACACACACTTTGTTTACACGGTAACCACCTCAACCTGCTGCTGTGATGTAAAATAAATAAAACGCCAACATGCTGATGAAACAACAAAAGGTGACAATGATTTTTAAAATGATTTTTATTCTGGTCTAGATGCCAAGGACAGTCGATGAATGAAATAAGCACACGTACTGGCACAGATTTCATGACGGAAAAACAAAAACGCGTGTCATGACACCTTAAGGAGAGGGGGCGTGGGGGGAGAAACACTACCCGAACCGACAAAAGTACATTAGTAGAACCTGAAATTAAACATCCAGTCTTGAGCACACTAAATAAATAGACCCCCCCCCCACAAGGTGCCAAGGATTTTAGGGAGGGAGGATTGCACAGAATCAAAATAAAGTTTTTGCATAACCACATACTACTCTTGATAAACAAATAAATACACACATCCATTGTCCATGTGCACACATTTTTTTTTTAATTTTCCTGTCTTCACATCAGTATTCAAATGTCATTCATATTAACACACGTTGGAGGCAGCCAGTGATTTTTAAGAGGCGGGTATAATGGGGGTAAATTTACCATGGCAACTCCATCACTGGCAACTACAATTCTTATCGTAAAAAGTTTGGCCATTTTACATTGCCCAAGTTTTACATGAAGGGGTCTAAATAGACTGAGTAGCATAGATTTAGGGCTGCTACAGTCCAGAATAATCCTTCATCAAGAAGCCTGGACAAACAAGAAGGGAATAAATTGATGGAAATTCACAATCTCCCCAGCAACAAAAACTTTCTCTCTCACACACATTTGATCCCAACCACACAAATAACCAACACTAAAGCAGCAGACTAGCTTATTCCGATCTTACAAAAGGGAAATATGCAGCTTTTATTTTGAAGCAAATTATCCTTGAAAAGAAAAGTGATCAGCATTCATTATGTGTCAAATCAGCATTGGTTAGCAGAGTACAAACACTAGCCCTCCTGCATTGTTTTCTTTCCAGTTGTGTTTCTCCGGATAAGCGCACCACGTGTCAATCGAGGAAAAGTCTTCCAGCAAACATGAGTAAAAAATTAACATCCAGATGTCTTACAGCAGAACGAGTCGAGTGCACAGGCGGCGGAATCAAACGCACACCACTTCCATGGTTGCGCATGCCCCACATTCATAAGAGAGCCGTCTTTTCCAGATGTGACCTCCTGCTTCAGTCATCTCTGTAGTGATTGAGGCCTAGAGAGGACAAGAAAAGGCAGCAAAAAAAAAAAGGGAAGCCGGAAGGAGAGGCGTGGGAATTTCTCCGGCCCTAAATACTGTCGCACGAAGGCAAGGCAGTGAAGTTGTCTCATCTGAGTCTTGGGCCAGGGAAAGGCAAAATAGATAAAGGAGGCGAGGAAAGCCACGGAATGGCCCCAGTCAAGAAAATTGAGGGTTTTTTTTTTTTCCTCTCCCCGCATACAATCATCATTCTGGGAGCTCTGAGCAGGGAAGCAATCAATAGGATTCATCCATTTTCTTGGCACATAGTGTTGATTGTTCTCATGGTCCTCAGTCACTCCATTTGTCTGCTACTAATCTCGAAAAAATAAGCAAGAAGTAGTTCCCCAGACTGGCCAGAATAGAAAACCTGAATAGCAATAGTATGTTCATTTTGGGGTGCTGAGCTTCTTGGGAGTTCCCGGGCGCTTTTGCCAGAAGTGTCCGGGGATGGTGATGGCATCCACGCTCATGGACATGGTCTTGGACGGGATGGCGGTGAACTGCTTGCGGTCGGAGCTGTACTTATAGATGGACTCCACCATGTCTAGCGTGATGACGCGCGGCCCGATGCCGGTGAGCCGTGACATCTCTTCTGTTTCGGGGTTCATGGTGTACACTGCCCTGAACTGGCAACTGGAGTCCCTGAAGAGGATGAGGAAATGGTTGGCCGTGCTCTTCTCCATTTCCTGCAAAGGGAGAAAGGGAACAAATGTAGAACACATATTATGATGAACCTCAATTTTGGACTCTGACACAATCAACAGATGGCTCACCTCTACAATCTTGTTTTTCTGAGGTTCGTTGACCTTGCCGGCCAGACAGCAGCGGGAGATAGCATTATGGATGATGAACTTGTTGGACTTGAAGCTTGGCTCCTTATATAGCTTTGGTCCTGAAAAGAAAAAAAAAAAACATCTGACCTGACTGAAAATATAACTAGAATGTATACTGTACAAAACCATCATAAAACACTGGATCACAGTTCCTTTAGTTTGGAGTATGCATCGCTCTCTCTGCTTGAATGAGTTATCTGGCTTCCTGTCGCACTCGAAAAACATGTCAGAAGACGAAATTGTCCAGAGGTGTGAATGCAAGTGCGAATGGTGGCTTGTCTTAATGTGCCCTACGATTGGCTGGTGATCACACAAGGGTGTACTCCAACTCTCATCCATATTTCGCTGAGATGAGCTCCAGCTCAAGTACTGTACAAAATGGGTGGATGGGCAGACAGACATTTCGGACCATGCGTCCTACCTGTGTACTCTGGGATGGAGGTATTGGAGGAAACCGTGGAGCCGTTTTCCCATTCCCTGTCACCGTTGTGAGCACTCATTCGTCTTGGCGACATGAGCCGGGAGGGAGAATGGGAACGACTGGCGAGAGGAAAGAAGAAGCTTAGTGCGGAAAGCGATGTTCAATTGGTGATGAATCAGATACCCGATTTCATAGGCCGATATTATGCCATTCAAACATCCACCCCACAAGAAAAAAATAGAGATTCATATCGGTCAGGCCCTTTCGAATCATGTGGTTAAGTGCTACCTGGTAGATCTCCTGACAGTCAAGCCTCCAGAGTCATTCGCCATGGAGGACAAGTTCATGGTCGAGTGGGAGTACACTTTGTTCAGCCTGCTTCCTACAAAGACAAAAAGCATATTTGAAAAATAGCTACATGGGAATAATATAACGAAATAATTACTAGTTACCCAGGAGACCCTTGACTGGGCTATGTGCGAGGGCCGAGTCGTCCCTGAAGACGGTCTTGGGTCTCTGCTTCTTCACACCGCGCACCGTGGTGGGCTTCTGCCTGAGCACCTTGTCTAGGTCCTCCATGATCTTCAGCTGCTGTCTGCGCTCATATTCCTGCCGCGTGAATTCTCCCCTGCGCTGCGGGGTTCCCTCGGCTGGAGGTGTATGCGATGCCGGAGGAGTCCCGGGGGTCTGAGGCTTGTCCTCACCCTTATTGCCCCAACCTTCGATGACCATCCACTGGGGCTTGCTGAGGTAAGGACAGAAAATAATGGGACATTTTTAACCATGTTGAAAATGAAGTAATATTTTCATTCAGGAAAATTAACTCATGGATCCAAACATGTTTTGGGAATGTGGAAGGAAGCCAGAATAACCAGAGAAAAGACACGCAAGCATAGGAAGAACATGCAAAGTCCACACAGAAGGACGAAACATAAATTCTAACCACTAGTTCACCATGCTGTTTGCCCATTCTTTTAAACGAGCAAAAGTTAAAATGTTCTAGATATTAAAAAAAAAACAAACAAAAAAAAAAAAAAACATTGCTTTATGGCCTTGTTTGTAGATTCATGGACTCGATGCCTTTTAAGACTTTTTAACACACGGAAGGCCTTTATGATGTGTTGCGTATGGCAATCTCACTTGGATTCTTTTTCCTGCTCCTGCTTGCGTCTCTTCATCTCCTCTGTTCTCTTCTGCTGTTTCTCCAGCAAGGCAGCTCTCCTCTGTGCCATCTCGTCCTCAGTTCGCTCCTTGTCATCCTAATAAGAAGGACCCGTTTTAAAACAGAAGCAAGTAATTAAGCTCATGCAAAGCAGCTTTCAGTCTCCAACCTTGAAGAAGAAGCCGACCCCTGCTTTCGCCTCTGGCGAGTCTGCGAAAGGATCGGGAACTTGTTCTTCCTCCTCTGCATCATCTCCTTGCAGGGAAGACAGAGAGATCTCGATGAGGCTACTCTGTTTGCAGTTCACGACTGCGGGCGGGGCGTCACTCTCAAAGGAACACTCCGACGGGGCACCGGAGCTGGAGCCCCCTCCCGCCGCTCCCTCCTTCCTGTTTGCGTGAGAGGGTCTCGGTTCCATGTCCGAGCTGAATATACTTTCATAGTCATTGGAACCAGCTTCGGACAGAGCGTCCTCCGCGGGGAGACGCGGAGTCGGGGTGGGCGTCGACCCGGGGGTGAGCGTCGCTGTGGAAACGGGCGTGGTTGCCAAAGAGCGCAGTTCATCAAAGCTTTCAGAGTCACCGATGGAGAACGTGGCGGAAGTCTGGATTTGATATTGCGAGGGGTTCACGCGACGAAGGTGCGGAATGCGGTCGACACTTTGCGGTGTATTAATGACCCTCGATAGAGCCGGGAGTCTTCCTTCAGAGGGCCGACCGTGTTTGGGGCTCTTAGGGGGCACGGACTGAGTTCTACGATGGGCCACTTGAGGAGACTTTGGAGGGATAATGTGGTTTGTGAGCTTGCGGGATGGCGACGGGGAGGCTGAATTAAAGTCCCGGGTGGATTCCTGTGAGAGGCGTGCAGAGGAGGGGGACTGGGTGGAGGTCTTGGGGCTGGTAACCCAGGATTTGTTGCCGGCAGCTTTTTTCTGAACGAGTTGGTTCTGCTGCTCGGCGAGCCGTTGCATGTCACTTTGAAGCGACGTGAGAGCTGCGGTCAGCTTGGATACGGCGTTGTTATATTCCCCGAGTGGCGCTGCTGCTTTTTCACCAGGCGTACTCGCTTTCTCTTTGGTGAGCCCGTGTCCCCCTTTGACGTGACTTTCATGCTCCACTGACACGGGCTGCTCCTCATTCTCCACGCTTGCCAGTCGTTCCTCAAGCGTCAACCGAGCGAGGTCTTCCTCAGTGGAGGAAGTGCTGACCTGGCCTCCTTTCGCCTCGCCATCCTCCATGTGCTCCTCTTTCTTCAGCTGTAGAAAGGCACTCTTGCCCACTTTTTGCCGATGCTTGGCAAAGATGGCCTCGATGCGCTTCTTCTGGGCTTCAATAGCCCGCCGCTTTTCCTCCAGACGAACCCCGAGCTCTGACATTTCGTTAGTGAGCTGAGGGCTCTTACCGGGGCTGTCTTCAAATTTCACATCCCACGTGGTCGCATGGGGAACAGTTGGCTCACTGGTTTTGCGAGAGTCTCCACTTTGCTTCTTTTTGCGTTCCGCAAAGCTGGTCATCTTCACGCCACTGTCCAATCCCTCCTTACTACTGTGTTTATCCAACTGGGAGCTGGTTCCAGGTGTGCCTGGCACGGACTGAGCCCGCGGTGTGTCCTCCGACGCATCCGAGTCCACGCTGCCGTCTCTTAAGACCGAGTCGTCATCACGTGAACATTCAGAAGTATTTCTGGTTCGCGGGGGCTCTTTGGACTCCCTCGCAGGCCGATGCATCATTCCTGAGTGCGTCGGCGCAGAGCGACTGACGGGCGTAGACTTTCTGTGATGTCCTACACTGGCGGTGTTGTCCGGAGAGTGGAGGTAGAAACCGTCTGGAGCACCGTCGGGATGTAAGCGAGGTTCCATCTTTCTTTCATTATGAATGATCTGAAGGGCCTCTTCGATGGTCGGTAGCTCTCCCGTTTCAGTCGCACCGATGCCATTCTCCGCTGATATTGGTTGATCGGGACTCTGGGTTGACCAGGAAGCTCTGTGGACGCCATTCGAAGCAGTCGGTTTGCTCAGGTGCACAGGAGGTGTGAAGGGCGACCGAGTCACATTTGGGCTTGTTGGATGAAGCTGGTCTGAGCTCGCGGATCGCGTTATCACAGGGTTGCCCATCACAATGTCCACGTCGCTGTCCAAGCCGAAAGGAATGCTGAAGGATACCGCTGACAGGGGGCGGCTAGGCGGAAAAGAAAGTGAGTGTGTGTGAGTACAATTAAAACACACCGTGTTGACTTAGTTGTGAATACACACCTTTTCTTGCTCCGCGTCTTTCCAACTCCTTCTAAATGAGACATTGAGGTAGACTGATTCAAACACCCTAAGTGGAACACGCACACCCACACACACACACACACACACACACACACACACACACACACAGTAAAGGCATGCACAAAATCAGGGATGCACACTGAAACACAACACATGAGAAGGCAACATGCAGAGTTTATAGACCGTTTCCGAAGAGAAATGAAAGCACTTTTGAGATAATTCTGCAAAAGACACAGAGTAGTTGTTCGGCTTGTCCCATCACTGGTCGCCACAGCAAATACCCTTCCTGATGCAACTCACCTATATTTATCCAGGATTGGGACTGGCGGTGGCCAGTAAAAGGTATGATTTAAATTAATCATGTCAAAACAAATAATATAATGCCGTGAACAAACACGAGCGCTTGAAAGGTGTTTCAAATGTGGACATATTGAAGTAATTCATTTGTTTTATTCAAACTTCAAGCTCTTTTCAAACCACGTAAATTCAAGCATTTTATTTCGAATTTTACACCGGAGCCACAATCTCACCTGATGCAGGGGAGGAAATTGGGAGGAAGGGCTTCTTTAAGATAGAAGGAGAAGTGCTGTAAAGCAGAAAAAAAATGTCAATTCCTTAAAATAGCTTCATAAAAAGGACATGTAGAATTCAGTTTGTATTCATGAGGTAACTCACCCATTGTTGCTGACACCCCGTGGCGTCGATGGTGCGGAGCCATCTAATGCAAAAGAACACAAACGGCAGATTTAATGGCAAAAATCAACTACGAGGTCCTCAGTTCAAAACGGACTTCTGTTTCTACGATGGCAGTGCGTGCAACCCGACTCGGTACGGAAGTCACATTGGGCCACAGTCCATCACTAACCTACGCTAGCGCAAGAATAAAGTCAGAGTTACAGGAAATGTTTGTTTGAAAAACCCATTTAGCTCGTAAACACACAAATAAAAAAACATGAGCGTGACAAGGTATTCTTACGCCTCTGCACAAACGAATTGATTCATTCATCACGGTGGTACCATTGTAAAGCGAGGACCCCCGGAATGACAAGATATTCCTAAATTAACAGTAAGAGATAGACACCTACCTAATCTGTCCACTGGTTGAACAAAGTCTGGCCTTTGTACTTCAAACCAGTGGAGCAGCTCTGCTAGAAAGCTCAGAATGTTGACCTGAATAAATCACACAGAAATAGACAGGGGGAAAAAAAAAAAATTTAGACACGCAATATTTTGTCATGCGATGAACCGTCAAGAGGATGAATGTCAGTACCTGAAACGCTTCTGGCGAATACAGCAAATCCTCCAGGGCCAAGTGGCAGCAGCTCTTCAGGCAGCTGTCACAGAACTCACGGATGAACTGCAGGTTGTACAAGCTGTCAGTGGCCGACATGGTCTCCTTCATGCAAACATCTATACGGAGAAGACAAGAAAATAAACTAAATGAAGAAAACACCTTCACAGATCAGGTGCGAAGAGGCTGTCTGGTTTTGGTACCTTCAAGTCGTAGCAGGCCGGGGCAGTAGTAATGCAGAACAGCAGCGATAGCACAGCCATTAGATAGGTCTCGGACTTCATTCACCACCGGGAAAATCGGTTTCTGTTTGGACTGAACTTTATCCTTTCTGTAGCGAAGCTGAAAGGGACCCAAAAAAAAAAAAAAAAAGCAATGAGTCAACTGGTTAGTGACGTGGCATGCTGAAAAATGCTGTGGCTAAACTAAAATAACACATCACAGCGTAACATGATCTTTGTTTAAATACATACAAATATTGTGATGAATTTATTTTGTAGTTTAGTTGAAAAAAAAAAGACTTGTGCATCATATAGACTCGCAACGCACGGAGAAAAACGTCATGATTTTAGGTTTTTGATGATTGTAGCTTGCAGCTAATCAAAAGGTAAAAATCAACAGAAATGAGAATATTATATCTGAATAAATGTCTTGTCCCATCTTGTGTAGGGGGAAAAGTAGGACAATGTAAAGTTGGGACGAAAGCAAAGTGTTAAGGGAGTGAGCACAAATTCCCAAATGTTAAACAAACCACCGCTGCTATTAGCATTCAAACATGTGCAGACATGCCGTGCATGCACTTGGCCATCATGCACACACTTGCAGGTTAATCAAGTGTGTACTTGCAGAACTCAAATTAAATGTCGCAAAAGATAAAGAAAAAAAACAAACAAATATAAAACAAAAAAGAGCAACCTAACCTGTCAGACATTTGATGAGGACACTGGAGGGATGGAGGTAGAGGGAAAAGGAACAGAGGAAAGAAAGGGAACTTACAGGAACTAGTTTCCAGTACCAGCGTGTAGGACACTGTCAAGGAGGCATTTAAGGACAGGACAGGAAGGCGACAGAGAGGAGAAAAAGGAGAAATGGAGGACAAGAGCACAAAGAGAGATTTAAAGCCTGACAGTAAAGGAAGTAGCAGTCATACAACAAGAAAGGGTCGTGGTGCTTCTTTTCTTTCAGATTTATTTTGTAACGGCATAACAATGTGCTGGTGCAAAATAATAAAAGATTGCCACCTTGCAAATGTAGCAAAACCAGCAACAGTTTTACAAGCGTGTTTGGATGTGACGCCAGAGGACGAAAGACGCTGTCGTGGAATACTCACAGCAGGTTGAAGAGGTTGGGGCTCACTCTCAGTGATGGCCTGGAGTGTTTGTTCACTTTGGGCTCCTTCCGTTAGTTCCCTCAGCTTCTGGTTGAGCTGAAAGTGTGCATCAAAACAACAAGTACCCGTTTTTTATGGTGCTGATCAAGTAACAGGGGAGCTGGAGGCTAACGCAGCTGACTTGAGGAGTACAGACTAGGTCGCCAACCAATCACGGGTACAAATGGACAACTTTTCACACTCAGAATCACACCTATGGACAATTTAGAGTTTTAAATGAACCTAACATACATGTGTTCATGGGTAAAAATATAAAAACTTTACTTTGCTTGACTCTACTCTGATACTACAGAAACGTGTTATTCTCTAATAGTGTCCAACAGCACTGACAAGTACATTTGAGGTCTTAGCTTGTTACAATACATGAGAGCTATATCAAAACACCAGTTTGACTCTTTTTATTGGGGGAAAAAATAAGTGGAGCCAAAAGTGCACTGACTCACCGTGTTTACCCAGTGCAGTAGAGCATCTTCCCAGCTTGAAGTCCCACCCAGGAGCGCTTGAGAAGCGCCTGTCTTCACCGTCGTCACCGTCTCCGAGGCTCCCAAGGCCATCAGGGCATCGATCACGGCCAGGTGAGCACTCTGCAAGGAGTGGGATAGAACAGGGTCATAGACACTTAAGAATAATTCAACAATGGCTAGCTATGCAGTACAAAACAAAAGCCCATAAACATTGTTCATACTGTATTAATTTACACAGAGCATCCTGCAGGCGTCACCAAAAGCGACATGTGAGTCAGCAGAAACACTGTCAAGGTCCTAAAAAAGCAAACACGTCAGTTGAAGCGGGTGAACTTTGGACTTGTATGTGTTCTATCGTTAAATCATTACATTGGAAGCAGATCAGCAATATGGTTACACATATGCTTGTGTGCGTGCATGAGTGTGTGGGTGTGTGTGCCGGGGGGCTGGGTTTGACACTCATTCCTCAGCTGCTTCCGGCTTTCTCTTTTGTAGCGCAAAACATGACTCATCAAGCATTGTTTGTATTTATAGTTACGTCACAGACTCTACACAGTTTGTCTTACTCGAGGACTGAGCGCATTTTCTCATACCCGTGGAATGGCCAGAGCACATTAAAAGACAGCTCAGATTGAATGTTTCAACACTAAAAACCTTTTAGCTCATTAAGTGTTTGTGCTTATTGTGCGCCATCAGCTATGCTGTATTTGCTGTCAACAGACTCTGACAATTCAGATTTTCAGGTGTTCTTCCATAGCGCCAAAAAAATTCTGATAGCTGTGAGACAATTACAATGTGGCCATTTTTAAAAGACAGGGGGGGAAATTTTTTTTTTTTCCCACTGTTCATTAGTTCAAAACGCCACTATTAATTTCCATAATATGCAAACACATGTATGTGAGTGTGTGTACATTATATATATCGCCTATCACACCAATGTACATTTTCTTATTGTAGGTGAAGTAGTCGCTAATTATATAACATATGGCACGCCTCCCCTACAGGAGACTGTCATATTTCGCCGCGATCTTTCTTCTACAGATACCCGAAGGAGACAAATTTAGCGAGCAAAGTTCCTCAACATGATGGCTGCAGCATGTGTCGGTCGTTGCATTCTTTTACTTCACAACTGGATTGCACTAAATTCTACACGCTGTATCTTTAAAATCAAAATTCAAACTGGTGGGAAAGGAAGAAACTCTTTGCCATGAAAAATCTAAAGGCAAAGAGTCTCATTCTTTTCAACAGCCCAAAAGACCCGCCTCACCTGAACGACAACATCAGCTTTCTAATTAATTGCCACAAACAGCATATTCTGGTCATGGGTCCATTCTTCAGTCCTGAGCCTAATCTGTGCAACTCCGTGCCAGTTCCCTTCAACACGGCATTAATTCCACTTTACAGACGAGACATTCCTACATGGGATGGGGAAAGGGCAGCGAGGGATGGTGGCGGTCCAGCTGCGTGCGTGCATGCATGCATGCATGAACCTCGTCCACCAAAATGCTGACCTTTGCTGGTCACATGCCAACAAGCGCTTGTCTGACAGTTTTAGGTAACGCTGTGTGGATGCACTGGCCCTTCCTGACTTGGTGGCCAGGGGCAGGAATGTCTCTTCCACATCTGCGGGGAGCTTTTCTCGCAACTGCGGAAATGATGCGCTGCAGCAGCAAAAAATAGGACAAATGGAGAGGGGATGTTGATGAAAGACTGCATAATCCTCTGAGCAGATCACGATCCAACCTAGCCAAGGCTATGATAATCAGTTTTACAAAAAAAAAAATATGTGTGTGTGTATATATATATATATATATATATATATATATATACATACACACACACACACACACACACACACACACACACACACACTGTATTTTTTTTTAAATGTTGGGCAAATAGGATTCCAGTATTTTATCCATTTAATATTCCAGCGAAAACATAAAACTTACAGTGGGAAAATTTGGAAAGCTACGAGGGAAAAAAAAAAGAGAAAAAGATGATCACAAGAGTAGTGAGAGAAAAATGCTGTCATATTACAAGAAAAAAATTTATAAGAATCTATTTGCACTATTACAACGTATATTGTCATCATTTTAGACTACCTGGTAAATAAATAAATAAGTAAATATACATATATCATAACACGCTTTGTTCGTCCACACCCAGCAGACGTAGCAACGGGAGATGAGAGCACAAATAAACAAGACAGACTGGCAAGAGTGAAGAGACGAAAATCAATCAGAGGAGTGCTTCACGAACAACAGTGCAAAATGAAAGTGGGGGGGGAGAGGTGGGGGCTGTTTGTTGGTAGAATCCCCCTTTGCCCCCCTCCCCCCCGAGTTCTGAGTAGGCCGGTCCAGCCTCCCTAATGAGGGGCGAGCGAGGAGCCACTCTAGAATGTATGAGGCAGAGGCTGCCAGATCACCATGACAACCAGCCAGCTGACCCACAATGCATCTCAACACGAGCCTTGGCTCCTGCAACCAAATAATCTCCACACTCCTGTCTCTCAAGTATCAGTTCCTTGGTGACCCATGTGACATTCGTGCTCGCCCCATTAACCTCATCAGTGGAGCAATTGGCAAAAATACGCATGTCAAACTGTTGCGGCAATAGAAGCAAACAAATAACAGCGGGTCATTCGTTTTGACTCATTAAACAACATTATGACGAGGGCACGCCCTGATTCTGTCTGAAATATGACTTAACGAGACATCCCCCAACGCCGCGCAACCCCTGCTCGTGCCCAGTGAGGGAGAAGCAAACACGGATCAAGCCGGTCTGGGGGGCCTAATGGGGGATTTTGCATGGGAGCGCACATGTACAGTATGTTATTTAACCTTTGTGTGCAGTTTTCGCAATGAATGATTAGCACAAGTACAGTATTGGGACAGATGGGGGGGGGGGGGGGCAAAGTACAACCCGCGGGCCACACATGGTCGTCTTTAATCTGGCCAACCACGCGTTTGCATTCTTATTAAGGGTTCTGGAATATTTGTTGTGCTCTTTTAGATGGTAAAATAAACTCTTTTAGATATACATCCAACTTTTTTTTTGTTAAATCATTTTTTATTCGCGCATATTGAAAAATATTTCTAGTACAGACAATTTGATGTGTACCTTTATTTTATTTTTTTTACATAAAATATTTGGTTACTTTTATTCATCGCAATCGAAAACCAGAATATTAGTAAACTCAACCATTTAAAAATATCACAATTATTGGTCACTTACTGTAAACAATTAAATAAAAACAGCCAAACAACTGCATGGATACATATTAAACATGTTACCCATTTTAGTTTATTTAGTAAGCAAAAAAATGTACTCGTATATTGACCATTATTTTCTTTATCCAATTATTTGTTAATTTATTGTAAATAAAATAAACAAGTCTACACGTGGAATTTACATAATTTACTATAAATCGGGTGATTATTTATTCATTAAATTATGAATACATGAAAATATAGGAGTGGATTGTTTAATTCTCGAAATAAACTATTTTACATACACATTTTACATACAACTTTTATCATCTTCTTCATGTACAAACGAGTAGGCCCATCTGTCCATTTTCCCACCCCTGAATCAACATTTTCAGCGATTCCGTCTGAAGTCGCCTGGACCTGACCAGGCCTTCTGGCTGACTTCGACTGACTTCCTCGTCACTCGACTCACTGAAACCTGCCAACATGGCACTGGGGCCAGAAAGGATTAACTCCAAACTGGTCTAAAGTTAGGATTTTAAATAGAGTTGCCCAAAAAGTCTATAACCAACATGGAGGAAAACTAAGATCAAACCTGATTGACTGAATAATCAATTAAGGTGATTCTCATCCCTGCCAACACTGCAGTGTGTTTAAATAGCCAATAAAATAAAACACTGCACACCGCTCTTTCCACTGTAAATTAAAATGAACCAGATCCGTTTGATGTTGGTAAGTGGACCCCGTGAGCGTTGGTCTGCTGTGTCATCCAATCACGGGTCAGGGCGTTCAGTCTGCGTGGCAGATTATCTCTAATCTTCACATATCTTTACCCTCAATCTGAGGAGCTACAGAGACCAGGCCTTCACCAAAAAGGGTCAGGACAGTGCGAGTGCAACACACACAAAAATAACTTCCCTTTCAGGAGGAATGCACTGATAGTGTTGACACTGTTGTTTTGGTGGACCTTTTATGCAGTACATTATCAAAATCTATGCAATTCCACTTTGGCAGCAATGAATGTGGTCGGTAGCTAAATTAAATAAAATTAAGGAAACAAGTTGAAACAAACTCAAATTTTGTTGATTCCACACCGGCTTTAAGGATATATCATGAGAGAGACACACATGAGCATTTCAAATAATTACATGCGAGCCTGCATTTAGTTTCCGCCAAAATAGTTAGTGATTACACTGTTCAGTTAAACAATTATTCGGTTGAAAGCTGGCACTTAATGTTTAAAAAAAAAAAAAAACTGTGTGTGTGGTTTCAATGAGCCGTGACGATGTGTCTTTTGTCCCACTCTGATATACATATCGCGCGGCGTATCGCTTTATAAACAGCAGATATGTGGAGATTGTTAATGATGCTGCTGGTGCAGTCTAAAACTTTGTTTCCCATGGATCTGACCAAGATAAGTCTTAACTGACACTGGCAAAGAGGTTTCCAGCCAGCGTTTCTTTGTGGTTTGCAGAAGTGCACCGCCTCGCACAGAAAGCGGCCTTCTCATCAGATTGTGTGACACACTTGATGCAAAGCTTTCATCTACGGCTGATTGACGCTGCTCCAAAGCCGTTTATCGGGCAAGACCACCGCTGAAGCTGCACCCTTCACTGCGGCTGCAACCGTGACCCACTTTCCCTGGCTGCCAACGAGGGGCAGACTGGCTAAGGAGTAGGACGGACGCGGCAGCAGCTGCAGGGATGATGCAGCATGGACAGTAGCAGCAAAATAAAAATAAATAGAGTTTCGTGGTCAGGATTTGGATCGGAGGCATGCAAGCAACACAACGTAATTATTATAGCAACACCATGCATAAAAATCACCTCCTCCTACAACACTGTTGAGCCAAACATTGAGCTACTTTTGGTTTCCCAAAAGGTTACAATAAGTCTGCAACAATGAATCACTTAGCGACATTTGTCTCTGACTTGATCCTTATGATATCAATCCATGGTGCTGGTGCCCTAGCAGCGTATGATTTACCGCGAAATGTTGGATCAGGATTAGCTTCCAAAGTATTATGCTGTGCCCTAATTCCTGGCTCTTTGAAAATCTGATTTCAATGAGCACTGCGAAAAAGGAAAAATGTGAAACATTTTCCACCATGAATCTCAAAGTTTCAAACAACGCACAGCGAAACAAGAAAAAAAAATCATAAATAATGCTATGTGACCATAATTCTATGACCAGCATTTGTCGCAATTCAGCCAAATTGCTTCATTCAAATGGATTTATTAGTCTATTTTTTTTTAAATATTGATCTCATTTTTAAAAAAAAGCTGTTTCCTTGGCCCGTTGGACAGGCTCATCTGTCAGTTTTAAAAAGCTAATGTGAGCCTTCAGCCTAAAAGTTTGCTTACCACCGATATCTTAAAAACAGGTTCCCACTGAGGAAGAAAGTTGTTGAGACGTTACATGAGACCAAATTACCACGAAAACACTCAGCCCCTTTCAGACAACTTAATTGTTGGCTGATCTTCAAGATGCTGGTTTTCACGGCCGTGTGAGCGAGCGGGAGTGAGGGACAGAGAGAGGTACATTGTCAAAAAAATAAATAAATAACATGAAGGAGGGGGACGAGACGAAAACCGTTTCTCTTGACTTGACTTACAATGCCCAGCCCAGGGTGTTCTTGCGACACACAATCCTGAGTTTCATCAGAACTGTTAGGCTATTGTATTGATCCAAGCATCCATTGTAGTGCCTTCCACACACCCTGGAATACAAACCCTGACCCCTCTTGCACAAGCGAGAACACTATGCCTATGTATAAAGTAGGAACGCATACGCTGATACGTTCTGGTTAAACAAGCTCGGTGGCATGATGGTGGCGGACTGGTTTTTACTCTGGGTGAAAGAAGCTTGTGGCTGTGGTCGTGCTGGCAGCTGGATCCACTCACCCTCTGGGATAAGTAGAATGAGTATGGGGAGGGTGCTGTAAATGCGGAGGGGGAGGGAGCACGGATGAATGAGCAGGGGGTCTTTCTGGAGGTCCTTTAATCCCGCGAATCAAAGCATAAACAAGACCCAAATTCTACAGCCCACGCAACCAGTAGGACCAGTGGGTAGTCAAGCGGACAGCCTGATACAGAAGCCTGAGCAGTAGGTACTCATGACCGCTCTAATTCAAGGATTCAAATTTTTATTTTTTTGTTGATTTGGATTAATTTTGCTGGGTTGTTTCCTTATGCAAAGTTCGAAATATATTGTATGCCCCAAAAACATGAAAATAAACTTCTAGTCATATCAACTCCCATGTAAATCCGATGTGGAACGAAATTCGGTACCAGGGGTCCCAGATTAGCCCAATAAATCTCAGGACTTGTGAAACAGAAATAGAATAAGAAAATAGGAAAAACAAAATAAAGACAAAAATGCTGATCTACAGTTTTGAGAAGTAAAGTGGGGATTGCAGTTCTTAATGCCAAATTTTGTTAACCTAATTACGTTACGTGGGATGCATTAATTTGAATTTGAAATTAGAGCATTATCACAAAAGCCTGGCATACTGCAGACCGTAAAATAAGCCTTTCCAAGCGCGTTTCAGTCTAAAAGACAAAAATGAGCACAAGGTGTCTCACAGGGCTCTATCCTAAGACCCTTTCTCTTCACCTGTGACAAACCTATATAACCTAAAGTGAGTTGTTTCAAAAGTATGACTCTTTGCATCATAATCATTAAATAAATGTTACCATTTTGATGGGTTTATGTTGCAGGTCTGCATCAGTCACTGCTAAGTCAGGCTCTTTGGAGACCAGGCTTCGGTTGGCGAGCAGCTGCAGCAGAGCGATGTTGTCTTTGGGCTGTGGGTCAGTGCGGCCAGTGCCGAACATCAAGAGGCTGTAGGTGCGGCAATAAAGCTCCGAGGACTGCAGGAGGCGGGAGACGGGAGGTTTAAGGTGTTCTTGCTCATACTGGTCACGGTAGAAGGGGTCTCGCAGCTCGGCCGGGACATTTTCTACCGGGAGACAAGAACAGTTGGTTAAACAGTGCATAAACAAGCTAGAGGAGACGGTACAGTGTATTCCAGGGATGTGATCAAAACATACGCCCTATTGGGTCCAGGGGATTTACATGACTGGCAAGCTCAAATTGTTGGGTGAGCAGTGCAAGTATCAAGGTCAGATGAGACGAGCTACGAATTACTCACAGTGTGTGCGTACTGCTCTTATAGCGTGTGCGTGTGTGTGTGTGTGTGTGTGTGTGTGTGTGGTGTGCTCAAGATGACCAAAACAACACCTGACAAGATCACCACCGACAATTTTGAATCTCCTTGCCCAAAACAGATGCCTCAAGTAATACCAGGACTGACCTGTGAAAGGCAACATGGTGCCACAGGGCATGCAGACTGCCAGGAAATTGAAATAAGAACAGTAGTAGTAGGAGTAGAAGAAATGCAAGAAGCTTGGCTAACTGCTCACTCAGGTCATAAATAAAATGTGGAAAAAACTCACATTTGGCAAGATTCTCAGGATGTGTGTATCACGCTTTACAAGATTGTTTCTCACTCATTTCTTCGCTCAGACCTAAAATTTCAGAAGGTTAACTCTAAATCGGACATGTCAAACTGGCAGCAGGCTAGGAACTAATCAAAATGTGCAGGATTTTGTAAACTATCACACGTGGAGGGGAAAACTAACACGGGCTGTTGCCTTACAGTACATCGTCATAAATTGACAGGCTCGCTGAGAATACCTTCATGTTATATCTGCTCTGACTGGTTTTCCTGCAAACAGATTACTGAAAACACATGCACACCTGACACGCCCTATTTAAAACTGGTTCCTCCACATGTAGGCTAAACCAGAAGCAAACTCAAGTCAACCAAGATCCAAACACATACAGGGGTACAAACGACCTCATCCATTCAAAGGGTTTTGGGAATGAAAGCTGGAATCTACTAAATAGACCTCTCGAATGATTATTTGGCTATAACCCTTTGTTTCCACCTGAATCAAAAATATTCAGAACACATTTGGGAAAATTCTTTCCACACTTTTCAGGGTCCATTAGGCATGGCTTAGTGTGGATGGAATAGAATCTGAGAGGCAGACGTGGAAGCTAGAGCTAAAAAATGACTCCAAACGCTTCCATCTTCAGCTTCTGTTGGTGTCTCAATACTTTTGCCTCCGCAGTGTCTCGGCAGCAACCCACATATGAGGTCACGGGTGAATTGAAAGTGTGTCTGGGTCCTCTAGATTACAGCTAAGTGTGTAAACAAACGGGACTCGTCGCTGTATAATGTCATGTAATCGTAAGACACGAAAGCGATCCGCATGGTTTCACGACAACAAAACACCCCGTTCCGCCGTTGAAACGGCGGCCATGCAGAGCCTCTCTGCGTGTCATTCGCATTTTGAATAGACAAGTTGGGAGTCACATGGCTCGGTGTGTTGTGCTCCAAACTGCAGTGTCCACATTACCTCTGGAAACGCTGAGCAACACCGGACAAAAAAAAAAAAAACTTGCCCAGAAGGCAAAGTAGGATGCAAATGCCACCACATATTAGGCTGGTGAAAGAAGAGTTCCATAGATGACATCTGAAACCGTGTCTCGACATGACAACCACTGCCGCTTATGCTGCTGGCTTTTCAACAAACAATCGACAAGGCTATTTAAAAATCCAGCATCCACTGTATCAAAACTGACCGCCAATGCGTCGCGTGATGATAGTGGCCATGTGCCGTTGCGTGCTCGATATTGAGCGATTGAGCTTGCCTGCCGGCTGCCTTTGTCACAGATACCAGCGCGCTTGTCGCTGTGCAGTTCGACACATGCAAACGGAACACGCAGGCGACGGCAGAAGCAACTTGAACCGCCGCGGCTCCGTACGGTCGGCACCAGCTTGGCGCTGTCGCGTCAGCTTATACAAAAGAATTGGGACAGCTAACCATGACACTGAAGTGGAAGTGAAAACGGACAAAATATGGAGTCAGTTATGTTGTGGCCTTCCAAAAAAAAAAAAAACTACTCCCACAAGGTTGGAAGCATACAATTGCCCAAAATGCCCAAAAGGGATCGACGTGAACATCAATTGATACATTACTGATTAAAAGGTGTGCTTGTACTTCATACCAAGGACCATGTGAGTAGTGTAGTTCTTACAATAATATTAATGAACCTGGCTTTAACAAAATGCAGCTGAAACAATCCCTCAAACTACATCATTTGGCAGAAAAAAGAATGCTTCCATCCATTTTACTTTCCATCCCAAATTCATGCAAAGGTCCAAATGAAGCATCAGCACGCGCATTCCGACTTGGTGACGAACTCCTCGTTTGGCCGCGTCTGTGTTTTATTTCACTCTTCTATTTTGCTTCAAATGCATCCTGTTTAGTCGTTCTCCATTTCCCACTGTGGCACTTTGACCCACACGTGACATCCGGAGGGGAATGCTGATGAAAATAATGCCCTAAAGAGGGGTACACGCATACAGGCAATCAATTTGAGTATTTTCTCTCCTTTACAATCAAAGTAGGTTTGCCGCTAACAACTCTTGAGAATTGATTATCCTCTCAAATATTCCATTGATTACTCAGCATTGACCGAGAGAGCAAAAAAAAAGCCAACAGATGAGCACAAGCGAATGCAACCGTGGAAGCTGAGGAGTCTTAAATTATATTAAAGGCCGCAAGGCACAAGGAGGGCGTCGTCCTGTCGTGAAGACAACAGCATGTGATTGCATTACACTTGCCCAAGAGGCGGGCCCACAGACAGTGCGACAGAATATATGCGAGATGATGGATTTGCTTTTGTATCCATTATCCTCACCAACAGGAGCGTCTTCGGGTTACACGGCAGCATATAAAAAGGCTTCTTAAACAGATCAATGATGGACCGCGTTAGCATGAAACACACTGTACACAGTGGCTGCAGGGCCAAGTACAGTATGCTAAAGGGTGAGAGGGTAAACAAGAGTAACAAGGTAGCATCCTGCTTACATCCGTGTCCCCCCGTCGACTCACCATAGCGACGACTCTTGAGGGAATGAGTAATCATTCCGAGAAGATTTGAAGCACTTCGATAGCGAGGATGAGCTGAAGTCATATTGTAGGTTTAATTTAAAAAAAAAAAAAAAAAAAAACAATGACATGATAACAGATGTGACAAAATATTAAAATCAGTTTTTAAAAAGTCAAGTTAAATTTACACAACACTTGTTAAGTGATAACAGACTTCCCTCCCAGGCATACGCACTACTTATTTTCCATGTAAGATAATGGCGAGTACTGGTACATAATTTAACATTCTCGGGTTCTGATAGAGTACACAGTGATAATCTATCAATACAACACAAAAGATTAGGATTATTTTTTGAATGCAGATTTAACATTCAGTGACTAACTTGTTTTTACATTTCGATGACAGTTGCGAATGTCCATTCGCAGTAGGCATCCGGCAATCAGGATTTTGGAGACGATCACCGAGTTTAAAGCTAAAAATAACCGATCACTGATCCGATCAGAAGATCGATCGGTCTATCCAATCTATTGACTGTACGTACGATTGACTCCCGCTATTCGTAGGGGAAAATGTCAGCGCAAAACTTCCCCGGATTGAACATGATTGCGTTTGCTGTAATGTCTTATTTTCCGGATATGATCAATGATGTCACTGATCGATCCACAAAATAAGACATGACAACCGAGCACCGAGTTTGGATTTAAAAAAAAAAAAAAAAAAGTGACGATCCAATTCGATCTATAAAAAGTCTAATTTCAAGTATTTACCATAAGGAGGAACTGGTTAGAAATCAGAATAAAACAAGCTACAGTACTTCCCCCTTAAGCATGAATCACTAATAATAATAAGCCACCCAAGTCTTCTTGATAAACGTGTCAACTTAAAGGTTAGGCACACGTTGGCTAGAACAGGCGAATCAAGAGTTTCTGGTCTTGCTCCAGTGTAAACCCGTAAAAGTCGTCCTGAGTCACTTATCTGTCACATGACTTGTCAGCGGGCATCAAGGTTAGATCCAAAATTCCCTATTCGCGCGTAATCACAACGGCCTTCACCTTGATGCAAAACATAGCTCCGTGTCAGGATAATAAGACATTGCCTGGGTTCTGAGCAGACAAACTAGTGCATGGTCTGTTGAAAACTAACAGGACACTTCATTAAACCAATCGCAGCACGGCGAAAACATGCAAACCCCACACAATATTTATTGCTTTTAGATATTTTTAGATAAAGATGACACAGGTCAACAAATTTGAACTATTTTTTTTCATTCTCTGCTGTACGATCTGTGACTTTGAGCAGGCATTGCTTTGAAAGGCAGGGTCTTGTCTGGTGAGTGACGTGGGCGTCAGTGAACAAAAGTAGAAGTGGGTGTTGAGAGCAAAGATTTGGGGCTGGCTGACCTTGAGACATTGTGTATGAATGTTTATTGCATGATTATTTTGCTATTGTTTGTTCAGTGAAGTGAATGAAAATGCACAGATGTCTGTGTCTGTCCATGACTGCTTGTGGTGCCATTACAATACGACTCTCATCAAATTTAAATGAAATAAAGTGCGCTATTTAAAGATGTACAACCCGGCAAGAAGACAGTTTGTTAAGAGACACACAGATAGCAATTACGAGATTATTATGGTGGTGGATCTATAATGCAAGTGGGTGGATCAAACAGCGTCTACAGGGAACACCCAGTCTGAGTGCTGTGAAGTCCAACAAGGATCTGTGGGTGACGGTATTATCACACTTTAATTAGGATTTGGTCAAGCAAAGCGCCAGACACCTCAGGCCTCTTCTCAGCATGCCTTTGTGTTATCCTCACTCAGAATAGACTTGATGTTGTCATCGGAGCAGCAGTGGTTGACTCAAGACAGAAAAACTACGATAGGAGCCAGTCCTTTAACCCTGCACTCTGGAGGACTGGGAAGTGACTTTGACCCAGAGGGCGTGGCTAGGAAGGGGGTGGGGGAAGAATGGAGGGGCTGGTCAAGGCAAACAGTAGCTACTGCCGGGAGATCCGGACCCTGGAATTGTGTAAGCAAGCCATGTTTTGTACAGAACATTCAACAAAACTCACACCACCCCAAGTCATTGTTAGTAAATCTGAATTAAATGAAAAATATTCCAGCATTCTAGCTGGAACTTTACAAAGATGTGTGGTGTGGCCCAAGGAGCTAGTACTGTAATTGTGTTTTTATGCATTTAGGTATAAAGGCGGGGAACAGGGTTATTTTTTCCAATGTTGTTTGCATTCTGCAACATTTTTTCCTAATTTGGTATGTAAAGATGTATAAGTTTGTGCTGATCCAGTTAAGATTGTTGAGGTTCATTTTCAGATATTGTCCAGCTTATTACTTTCCATAGCAATTAATTTACAGTTAGGAAAGGGTAAAATACAGCAGACTAGGTTACCTAACATAGTATTTTTTTAAGTGAAACCCTAAGTTTAGGCCATCTGAACAATGACTGTGCTCCCTTGCTGAGCCACTGCAACGATTGTTTTGATGATGAACAGCAAGAGTTCATGTGCTACAGGGCCTGTCAACCCACATTTTCAACATTTTCCTTAATGTTGTGCAAGTACATAGAAATGCGCAAACATTGTTGCCGATTTATATTTCTGATTGTTCGGCCTTGCTGTATGATTATGTGAAGCAGTTTCAGACATTCGATAACATTGAACTAAAGGTTTACAGTTCAGTAACCGTAAAAGACAATTTTTCACAGGAGGGCGTTTATAGTGAAACCCTGAGGTCATGCAATTATACAGGACCTGCCTTCCCCTGCTAATTATTTTGATGATGAACAGCAAGAGTCAAGTGTTATAAGGGCCTGTCATTCCTGAGAGGCAGCACGTTATCCACGCCCAATGTGGCATGTCAAAAAGATTTCACACTACATAAAAGAATGCTTGGGGTGGTTTGACAGCCACAGAAGGGTTAAAGGGTGGCCTGTTGCTGAAACAAAGACACCTTCGCCCTCAAAAAAAGTGAGCAGCTATTTGAAAGAGAACAAATTGTCAGTCCCACCAATACGCACAGACGGAGCGTGCTTTCCCCTCCTTTCGTGTGCGCCTCTTTGTGCTCCAAAACCGCTGAGTGAGATGTTAAAACGTTTCTCAGCACGCTAGAAAACCACATTAAAAACACGCAGCGTGATCGTAAGGGCGTTCAAGCTACACGAATCGTCCCGGGGCCTGTGAACCTACCTGCACTGCCGTAGGACTTCGCCAACAGCCAGGCGACACTTGAGCATATTTTCGCTTTAGTGGAGTCATATAAATCCAATGGTTTGATATCAGGGACGACAAAAGTCTTCCTCAGGGAGTCCACCATGGCGGGGTTGTTAATTAAAAAAAATACAATGCGGTACTAGCGAAAAAGGCCCCTAAAAGCGTGTACAAAAAGCTCTAAACAAGCATTGTCACTCCAGTCCCCAATGATGGCTGGGAATACGGATGTGGCTGAGGAATTAAGTCGGGCAAATATCCAGCCCGGAGCTGCTTCCAAGCCCGCTGAAGTCCTCCTTGTCGCGGTGAAAATGGCTCGAATCCTTCGCGGAACGCTCCTCCCGGCCAAAGCGTTGGACCAAGGAGAAGTTAAAGCGAACAAGGCCCCCAGTTTGTCTCCTTGTTCGACCGCATAGCTCTTCGTGTGTGTTGGTAGAGGTACATCGCAGAGCGCCGCCGCCGATGACGGATTACCAGGTAAACGCCGGCGACGTCACTCAACCGGGGGACCAATAGGAATGGAGATCGCGACAACGGGAGGCGGGATTTCCTTGTTGGGAACGTCGACGCTGATTTACAGGTGCTGTAGTTTCAGTAGTAGAAATATTGCTATGGGAAATATACGCGTTTTATTCTCGAAAAATAAGACTAATTTTTTTGGTTAATATTTGTCATATCAGTGCTTTTAGTTGTCCCCAAACAAAGGCAGGAAGGAGTCATTTTTGTTGTTTTTTTCTTCAATTGGCACACCGTGTGGAGTTTCACTTTTTTAAAATAAGACCATTTATTGTCCAAAGTTTCTCGGAGTCCATTTTGAGAACCTCTAATTTTGGACAGTCCAAATGCATTGTTAAGTAATGTAAGTGATACTATTTACCCACTATAAATTGGGAGTTTCCTACCGGTTGTTCTGAAGCCTTGTTTCCAGTCGCACCATCACCACAGGAAAGCAAATGCCAAGGGTGCCTCATCACATGATGTTGCTCGGCTTGCATCCAACTGCGATAACTTTCTAAGAGGATTACCTTTCAGCTATGTTAATCTAATTATGAAAATATTTCTCCATTTGTTGGTACCTTAGGAAAAGGACAAAGTCCATCCCACACAGAATGTTCATTGAAGGAATTTGATAATTATATCTTAATTTGGTTGAAATAATATATGATAAATTCATGGGAATATTAGAATGTCTTGTTAGACACTCTAGCATTGAAAACCAGCACAATGTAATAGTTAATTTCTTGACATAAATATTGTGAAAATGAAATGCCTTGTATTACCAATCTTTATTGATTTAACTCTTCAGGACATTATGTAAAAATATAAGTACAAACTTCATTCATTCTATTAAGGACAGACTTTTTAAACAAAATATTGTAGGACATAGTCCATTAATCCAAACGCTAACTATTCACCTCCCCAATTGCTCTACCACATACTTGAGAAAGCCTGACCCAGTGTGGTCATGACAAAAAAGTGCATGTTACTTTCTCCAGGCAAAAATGTGGAGGGAAGAAGCCATGCTATCATCACACGTCTCAGGAGTGAATGCAAGAAATGTACTCAAATTCTCAAATGTATATTTTATGATTTAAGAACGATGACTACAATGTTACAAAAGTCAGTAAGCCTTCTTGAGAAGGTTTTCTCAATCATCTTTTAGGCCTCCGTAAACAGCAGTGGGAACGCTCTTCTGTTCCAGCTGCACTTCTGTAAGTAGGGAGACAACAAGGGGTAACAATAAACATGCTGCCTTGGATGACAAAAGTCACCCCCCCCCCCAAAAAAAAAAACAACAACATTTGAAGCCAGTCACGTCACTCACCCTCCGGGCCTTGCCCATCGTCCTCGTCCTCGTCATCAATATTAATCTCATCAGGATTGGCTTGTTTGGCCAGCTCGGCTAACTCAGTGCGGGATGTGTCACTCCTGCACGTGCAGAAAATATGTTTATTCTGTATATACTTTAAAATACATCAACATTTGGATAATATAGGCATTGAAAAAAAGGACAGACCTAATAAAGAGAATCTTTTCTTTTGGCTTGGGTTTATCCTGCTCTGCCTCTGCTGCAAGCTGCTGCGCTTTCTGCTCCAACATTTTCATGTCGTCAATTCCCAACTGGCCTGGGGCAAGATCTGACACTGGACACACATGCGAAAAAGTGTTTGCAATTAATGCTCGGTTACGAAATTCTTGTATCAGCCAAAGGACCAGAAGCAGTCATCTTACCGGTGCCTGTGGAGCTCGTTGTGGCCTTCAGCATCTGAGATGACATGAAGTTGACCTGAGTGTTGTACGTGGCCTGGACGCTGCGCTTGATTCGCAGCATCTCTCTAATGGTGTCCTCGTTTCCGTGGCGGATCTCAAATTCTTTCCACGTCTGCCAGAACACAGCTGTGACCTGAGGGGGGAAAACAAATTATAATACATGTGAAAATCGTTGGTGGAAAAGGGACACTCGTCAGTTGGAGGCTGCTCTTACCCTGGGGTCGCAGATCTGAGAGCAGTAGGAATAGATGGCTCTGGCCCGATCAATTTCACCCAGTTTGCTCTCCATGTCTGCAAATCGCAAGCATATGTCCCTGGAATGCTCATCAGGGAGTACCTGGAGAAATAAGGAAGGGGTAGGAGAATTAGGGGGAGGGAGTCATTTCTGAAATCAACTGAAATTTAACTGAAATCACTTGTGGTACAGGCTACATTTAAAATAAAACGTTTGTTGATGTTGAAATGAAACATTTTCCTCACAATTGCAAGATATAGCGGCATTATGAAGTAAAATATAAGTACTGGCACTCAGTCTGAAAAGGGTGGTATCGGTACATCGCTAGGATTTAAAGATAGCTGGTGAGTCATAACGACAGCTGGATGTACCTCGATAGCCTTCTGGTATATGGCCCTGGTGTACGTGACGCCATATATTTCGGCCGCTCTCTTGATGTAGATATTGAACATCTGGTGTCGCTCCTCGTTTTCTACCGCCTGTGTCGCTCTTTCGTAAACAGCCATGGCGTGACGTGCCAGTCCGTACTCCTCCTCCAGCTTGGCGTACAGCAGGTAGATGGCTGGAACGCCGTGCAGAACGAGTATGACATTCAAGCTAAAAATGTGGACGATAACGGATTATTTTCCAAAAACTACTCACTCTTGGCGAATTTAGCGGGGCAGCCATCGAGAGCTTGTTCGAAGAGATCTCTGGCTCTCTCCAGCTTTTTGCCTGCGTATCGGTCAATGAACTTGGTGAGGTAAGTGTTCCAGATGTCATAAACATTTGGCCACTTGAAGAGGGCGATGCCACGCTCATACGCCTGGAGACAAAGGGCAATGCATTCAATAGAGACCAATGGTATATACGTGGATACAACATATACATTGCCGGGTTATTACTTTGAAGCTCTCTTCAAAGTATTGATGCTCTTCGAGGAACATGGCGTAGTTGATGATGATCTGCGGTGTGGCAATGCGCAGGTCAATAATGCGGTCATACACTGCTTTTGTAGACTGGAGGGAGATTAGAATGAAGCAATATGATTACAGTTCACACAAACACAGATAGAAAAAAATAAACGAAATACATGCAGATACTCACCTGGAATGTGCCCAGACTCTCTTCCAAGTCTGCCAACATGGACCAGACCTTCAAAGACTTGTAGACTCTGTTTTGGACTGGCTCAGAGGCATCGAAGTACTCAGCCTTCTTGGATGGGATGGCTGTGGCTTTCTAAAGTCATCAAATGGATGGGATATAAGAACGCTAAGTGGTTGAGTTTTCCTGACGTCATAAACATTGTACACATATAAAAACAATTGCTTTCAACCACAGATTTTCTCAATACAGCAGGGATTTCCACAACAGAAAAGTAGGTATGTTCCACACAAAAAAAAGAAAAAAAAAGACTAATGTTACCTAGAATAAAAATTCATGGCTCACCCTCAGTATCCTCAGTGCCTGCTCATAGTTTTCGTGCCGGAGTTCCATCTCTCCATATTCGCACCACACTGCGGCCAGGTCGTCTACCTGCTTGTAGTTCACTTTGGTGGCTTTCTCAAAGATGGTCCTGGCCTAAATGATATGAGGCATTTAAAGTGTTTCCCCTACAGATCGTATTTCCCCTACAGATCGTCCATTGAGTATCCTTCAGGCTGTTTGTACCTACATCATCCAGCTGCTCGTTGTCTTCATAGAATTTAGCAAAGGTGACCCACAGCGTGTGAGGCTTCCCGGTGGCTTTCATGGGATCAACAGTCTGCACCGCCTCCGTGTATGTGTTGATGATCTGTAGAGTGGACGGAATGTAGATAAGATACTTGTCATATAGTGCCACAGTTCTGTGATGCAGTTTGTTGCTATTCACGGTAGCGTTCGGTCCCTATCACTCGAGAATAGCTAGGGTTAACTCTCTTTGTGTGTTGACGTGCCTTTAAGGGGGCGTGGAGTCAGTCGGGTTGGTTTACCAAATGATTAGTCTGCATGTTGTCATCTGCTACATGACCCTTGCAAGTGTTTTCATTTTGGATTTGTGTATACGGCTGCTTGTCCCATTCAATAAACAATTTAAAGTGCATCAGTGAGTTTAGCTCGACTGAGCAACAGTTTGTATTTCAAGAAAAGTGTACGTTGAGACACTCGTAAGTCAAGAACTGTATCTCGGGTTCAGTAAGAGTGAACAGCCAAAAACTCACCTGCCGTGGAATGCCCTCGTACAGTTTGACACGTTTATGCCACTCATGGACATTGTGGGGGTTCTGTCGCAACAGCACACTGTTCAGAAGAAGAGGTCGCCGTGTTATCAGCTCCTCAAAGCGGGCGAGTCGAAGCTCCAAGTCGATGTCGTCTTGGGGAGTGAAGGACAAAGTGAATACAAGTGTGACAGAGTCAACGATGGATGTTAAGGGCTTTCGATGACCCCCACACGAACCCTCTTCATCCTGGCCCATCTCGGAGGTGGTTTCCATCTTGGCTGCGATCATGCTCTCCTCAAACTGAGCGTAACTGTCAAAGACTTGTGTGAAATCCCTGACGGTTACCACGGTAAGAATGGCCTCCTCATACACATCACGGGCCTATAAGACACAGAAAAATGTATTGTATTTCCTCATACACTTACTAATCTGCAGCGAGTACTAGTCATCTATTGGGGTATGGTGTTTATACAGTAATGCATTTACTAATTCAAGGAAGCATCGATTAGAGCAGAGACCATTATTTGAAGAAATGTGGTTTAGAATATCAAGAGTTGTGTGCTTTGGACAGTCATTTGTTTACAAACCTTTTCAAAGAGGCCACTCCTGATGTAATAATCAGCCAAGGAGCACCACAGCTTGCCAAGCTGGTCCGTAAAGCGAGTGAGCCCACCCCGAATGATGGCACCAACATTTAGAGAGGTCACCTTGTCAGGGTTCTGCGAAATCAGGTCACATAACTCGTGCCACAACTGTATCAAAAAAATATATAATTACAAATTTGTCATGTTAGA